TATCTCCACATCTACTAAGGTGTGGCAATTATTTGTATTTGTTATGGGCTTCTTCCTGTTTTCGTTGTCCGGTTGTCTTATTGATTTTCTGACCGTTTGCTCGTGTTCTGATCTTTTCCTGAATGGCGAAAGATGTTGCACTTATCTTCTCATACCTGAGCATTTCTCAGGGGAGTTTATTTCCATAAATGACTTTTTCTTCTGATATAAGTATCTTCTACAGAGCAAAAAAATGAATGTTTACAACGGTTATGATGACTTTCCTTTCATAGGGCTTAATATTCATCAGCGTCCCGATGAAGTCAAGCAAAGAATAGCAACGGTAGCGGGGCGCCCCTTTCTTTAGTCTGCTCTGCAGGAAACGAGAAAATAGATGGTCAGATGTCAGATCAGCTTCTCCCTCAAGGTTCATACACACCGTTTGCGACTGCTCGTTTTAGTCACCTCTACTACCACTTTCTTTGCGGTATTACACAGTAAAATTGTCGTTTCATTCATCGTGGTCAACACAATCCATATGTTTTATTTACGCAACTTTTTAATAGGAGTATAATTTCCTTGCAATTTTCGTGACTTTATTAATTTTTGAATCGGATCCTTGGAAGTACAGTTGTAATATTCGTAAAGAATATGGTTCCATCTTATATATTTTGTTAAATTTAGGGGCGAATATGATGAAATTCTGCGAACTATAGCGATGCGGCCAACTGCCAACATTTCTTCTTCAGTATTTGCTAATTTATTGCAGAAAAATCCTGATCTGGAAAATAAAGGTAGTTTAACTTTACTGCTTGAAGCTTCATAAAACTGCTTTTTAAAATTTCTTTTGTTTTTTAGAAATTAATTTTAATTCTGCGCCACAGCTGTTGTAATATTTACAACTTCGTTTTAAACAGTTATGATTGTGTTTTATAAACGTGTGTCATTCTATTCGGTCAAAATTGTAAGGCAATTTAGTATGTAAGCAAATTTAGTCAATCCCCGTCTGTCTAATCTTCGGACATTTTTGATTGCCTTTTGTTGACATTTTAAAGTCATTGTCAGGCTCTGTGGCTAGCGATATATGGAGAACATAGAAATTAGTCCATTTTTACTTCTTTGACAAAGCTGTGGCCAAATGTATTAACTACTGTTATACCATGTCACATCGACTGGTGATATGTTCGATCAAAATGTAGGTGCGCGAGAAGTAAACAGTGTATTTGCTTCTTTGAATCGCTAATCTTAGAATGAAATGATTGATCGAGGTTCGTAGAACATTAGTCTGTTTTTACATTTGTTTCGTTTTAGTTTCGTTGTATGGTGAAACGGCTTTCAAATTTGGTAACCCTTCTCCAAAGATCGGACTTTGGCTATATTATTTAATTGCCAACCGGGAAGCAGACGCCAACTTGATTTTGGACCAGGTCGGTTCAGACATCATTTTGGACTACATTCGTCCCTTCTATCTCATGGATTTGGTGCGCTCCCTCAAACGCAAGGACTTGCTAGAGAAAGTTCTGAAAACCGTCAAAGATGTACCGAACAGCTATCGCGTGTCTGCCTTTTACGCGCTGCTCATCAGCCAAGAAAGTAAGCAACAGCTGACATAATAGAAAGTGGTCATCTTTCAATATTCTTCAACAGTCGGTGAGCGGAATGTGGATCGGGCAAAAGCGCTGTTTGACGAAGCGAAAGATGCCGGGCTGACGGTGGGCAGCTTGATGGCCACCGTCGAGGAAAGGTTGCAACGAATAAGCAGTGGCGACGAAACGGCGGTAAGTGACTTTGTTTCTTGTTGACTTATTATGTCTACTTTAATCCCGACATGTCTATTTAAGTTCTGCGAGAAGCTGTACCCTGAAGATGAATTGCACCCAGATGAACAAGGACAGGACTGAACGACAAACCTGTCTAATTATACTGTTTCTAATTACAGACAAAATTGTTCAGTTTTCATAGTTCAGCATTCGATAGTAAAACTGCTGTCTTAAATGATGAGCGCATCTAC